ACTTATCCTTCAGTATTAGCTGCGACACGGTAGATCGGATAAGTGAAAGATTATTACAGACCCTAATAATGGCATAAGCTAATGATTATGTTGAAATTGTCAGAGGAAGTATTCAACATGGTGCACTAAGAGAGCTTATCATCTAAATTATCTCCTAATTAGGCTGCCACTTTTAGCAAAGTGATATTTGAAAATTTCATATTTCATTCTCCATCTTAAGCTTTAAATAAAAAATCTTGCGAAAGTTAAATGAAAGAATGTACTCATATTATCTTTCATGTATATTTAAATATGTTGCAGTTTCACTCATTGGAATCATTATCTGATGATTCATATATCAACAGTCTCGACGAAGCAATTAGTTATAAAGCATCAATTGTACACAAAAAGTCACTGAAGGAAGCGTCACCAAAATCAATCGCTAATACAGCTATTTCAGAACTTTCTGTTAATGGCCATTAAAATAATCTGATTTTTTTTGTGGTTTACGATTCGTTTTTTCAAATTTTAAATATAAGTATCTTTCGTTGAAAAAAGAAAAAATTTTCCGGCAACTTGCAGTATCTAATAATTCGCTCGCATAATTGTTCGTGGAAAAAAATTGTATTTTTATTGTAGCATATATTTTGAGCAAAATTTTCTTTCAAAGAAATGAGAAAAAGTGTTTGCAAAAATGAGTAGTCCAGTGAATTACTTACTTTAGTACAATTTAATTAGTATAATGATGAATTTGTTACATATGTATAATTTAAAATATATGACAAAATGTGCCGATGATATATCTATGAGTTTGTCAAAACTATATAAGTGTGAAGCGTATATTTATTTTCACTCAAACTTGAAATGAATAAATGAACATGGGCAGAAGGTAATTAGTGTAGAAGTTTCATTCCAGTTGAAATTGAAGAGATCCAAACAAAACAACAGTTTAACAATAGTTAGAAACTCTGAAGATCTGCGTGATATTCTCGAATTTTGATAACTGCTAGGAATAGTGATACAGACATCAAATAAGCCCCAGTACATCTAGTAATTCTGTACTCTGTTTCTTAGTTTACTAATGAGATTTTGAGTCTTCATCCAGTCTCTTTATAAAACGTTGTTTTGAAAGAAAAGCGTCATAGTTCCTTGTCATGATGTTTCATTTCCTATACATTCCAGATTTTTGATGATAATTAACTCTAAAAAAAACTCGTGAAGAATTGTAGCATAACAAAATGCGAAGTAATTCACTCGTAAATTTATATTTTTCATCAAATAGTCCATAACTATTTAGTGAAAAATGTAATATGCAGATCGAAGTTGCTGCTATATTAAAGTTACGTGGAGATTTCCTGTGAATGACACTCTTAACCCACAACAAAGAGTGGTTAGCTTTATTGAAAGTTTATTGAAACTATCTAACAAATTTCCATGTCTAGAAATCACTACACAATTCATAAGATACTGGGACTTGACATTCCAAATCGCTTTGGATTTAAATAAATTCTGAACACAATTAAACTGAGCATATTCATAAACAGTGCAAGACCGTTTAAAGAAATGTTACATTTTTTATTTTTTTATTAATGACGTCCTTTTAATTGAAAACTAGGAAGTAGTCCAGAAGTGTTCGACCGTGTCTTTTTTTCTTCTTCAATTTCATCCAAATATGGCTTAAGGTACCACGTTTCCTGAAATAAAGTAGTAAATTAGCAATTATGAATAAAATACAATGATCAAATGAGTATGCGTAAATACAATATATTCAAGCAGATTTCGTTCGAAGTGCCACAGCTATTCATAGTTGAGTCCCAGTCCAAAAAACGTTCATCATCAAATGATAGGATAATGGGAAAAGCATGAAACAAAGAATACGAAACAATATAATCTATCCGTTCATCATCAAATAATAGGAGAGACTTACGTCTTCCCATTTCGTCCACTTTTCTTTTGGTAATTGTTCACCGTGGCATTTCAATGAATGTGCATGATAAAGTCGTATTTTGCGTTCATCAAAAAGCCACGGTTCCTTCAAGTTCAAACGACGTAGTGCCTCTTTCACTTCCGGAGCAGGCTCAAAACACTGGTCGTGAAAAAGTAAACCTATAATTCAGAACGTTACAACAAACACCCAAAACTTTAACTCATTTCGATTTCTAACAAATATAATATTTCCAAATTCTACCTGTAACAATCCTTTAAAAATTACAGGCAAAGATTCTTTCTAACTCAAAATAACGGCTCAAAAAAACGACCAATATATGGATATAATACTATTTCAAATATCAATAAAGAAAATAAACAGAACCATATCGTCTTCCGCTCCAGCCATATGACCATAAAAAATACCGCAACATTTTTGCCCATTTTCCTAAAAAAAGACACCGACCATACTGGGTAGAAAACGCAAATAAATTGTTATAAGTTGATATAAGATTAAGTGTATTTTCTTTCATAAATCAACAGAACGATTTTTGGCGCTGTAAACAAATATTAAAAATGAACCAACACAATATAAGTCCATGTAATTTAAAATTCTTCCTGTTCCTACATTTAATATCGTTAAAAAGTACATTTATTTGAAATCTATTCAACAATAAATGCAATAAATTTGATAGCATAAAATACCATTGTAAGTAAATTTGATGTTTTTAGCAGCTGGTGAGACCTTATCCCAACGAGCCAACAATGAGAATTCCGAGGAGGCAACCTAAACAATTGTCAAAATCAGAGCGATAGAAAACATCATTTCAGATAACAGTTGAAAATGCTTAAGGAAATGCAATTTTTCAGTAAAAATCTTTGTTAGATGTAACTTTTCAATGAGTTATAGTGATCAGATCTACATCTACAAGTTCTTTTACTACTAGTAGTTAGACATGGTTTGATAGTAATCATGTCCTAAGTCTTTTTGACTAATATCGGCAAGTAATATAGTTTGTCAGCAAAAATAACCATAACAAACAAAAAAGGAAATAAATTAATCTAAATTACAATAAAAAAGCTAAATCTTTTCATTGATACTGATTTTTGCTATGCATATACTCTCATGATGCATCGTTGATATTTTTGGATAAACAAAACTAATAGCTAATAACCGATGAAATCTATAAAAACACTACAACCTTCGTTAAAAATGTTGTGTGTACCATTTGTTCGACTCCTAATTCACACGATAATGATGTATGCTAGCGAATTGTTCCGAAATGTCGATTTATACTGAAATAACTAGCAAAAAGAGCTGCTGCTGATGAAAAAAAAAAACACTAAACAAATTTACAAACTGCGTTTCTTTCCATGAATGAATCTGTTAACATACTAAATTCACCCC